TTATGTACAAAGCATTATAGAAGTTTTTATGGACTATTCTACTGTTTATGGAAATTGTTTTGATGAATGTTTAACAAATTTTGAAAAAGTTTTAGAAAGATGCTTCTAATCTAACCTTGTTCTTAATTATGAAAAATGTCATTTTGTGGTTGATCAAGGGCTTATATTAGAACATGTTATGTCTTCTAAGGGTATAGAGGTAGATAAGACAAAGATAGATGTTATTAAGTCTTTACCTTACCCCGTAAGTGTATAGGAAGTTCCTTCTTTTCTTGGGCATGCAGGTTTTATTGGCGATTTATCAAGGAATTCTCGAAAATTGCTCAACCCTTATGTAGACTCTTGCAAAAAGATGTTGATTTTGAGTTTGATGATGCGTGCAAGCAAGCATTTGACATATTGAAGGAGAAGTTGATATCAGTCCCAATTGTTCAAGCTCCAAACTGGGATTTCCCATTTGAGATAATGTGTGACGCTAGCAACCATGCTGTAGGGGCTATTCTTGGGCAAAAATTGGACGGGAAGTTCGTTCTTTTCCTGGGCATGCAGGTTTTTGTAGGCGATTTATCAAGGACTTCTCGAAAATTGCTCAACCCTTATGTAGACTCTTGCAAAAAGATGTTGATTTTGAGTTTGATGATGCGTGCAAGCAAGCATGTGACATATTGAAGGAGAAGTTGATATCATTCGCAATTGTTCAGGCTCCAAACTGGGATTTCCCATTTGAGATAACGTGTGACGCTAGCAACCATGCCGTAGGGGCTGTTCTTGGGCAAAAAATTTGACGAGAAGTTCGTTCTTTTCTTGGGCATGCAGGTTTTTATCGGCGATTTATCAAGGACTTCTCGAAAACTGCTCAACCATTATGTAGACTCTTGTAAAAATATGTTGATTTTGAGTTTGATGATGCATGCAAGCAAGCATTTGACATATTGAAGGAGAAGTTTATATCAGCCCCAATTGTTCAGGCTCTAAACTGGGATTTCTCATTTGAGATAATGTGTGACGCTAGCAACCATGCTGTAGGGGCCGTTCTTAGGCAAAAAATTGGCAAGGAACCTCATGTTATTTATTATGCCTCAAGGACACTTGATAGTGCTTAAAGCAACTACTCTACAGTGGAAAAAGAACTTTTAACTATTGTATTTACTTTAGAAAAATTTCACTCTTATTTGCTTTGTAGTAAGGTTATTGTGTTTTCTGATCATGTAGCCTTGCGGTATTTATTGAAGAAGAAAGAACTAAACCTAGGCTAATAAGATGGATTTTGTTACTATAAGAATTTGATGTAGAAATTAGAGACAAGAAAGGGTCTGAAAATTTGGTGGCAGACCATCTTAGCCGGGTACCTTTGACAGAGGAAACACTACCTTTGAATGATGCATTTCCCGATGAGTATCTCTTTTCATTAAGTGATAATATCCCTTGGTTTGCTGATATAGTCAATTACTTAATAACTAGATCATTACCTTATGATTTAACTAAGTATGAAAAAGATAAAATTAAAAATGATGCAAAATACTATGCTTGGGATGATCCTTATTTGTGGAAATATTGTTTAGATCAAATAATTAGAAGGTGTGTCTCTAATGATGAAGTTGAGTCTAGGCATGGCCGGTTCAGTGAACCGCCGGTTCCGGTTCACTGAACCGCCGGTTCAGTGTAGCCTTGCGCAGCGTATTTATTGGAAGAAGAAAGAACTTAAACCTAGGCTACTAATAGATGGCATTTTGATTCTACTATGTAGAATTTGACCTGTAGAGAATTAGAGAAAGGAACAGGGTCTGGAAAATTTCGGTGGGCAGACCATCTTAGCCGCCCCCGTACCTTTGACAGATGAAACACTACCTTTGAATGATGCAGTTTTCCGCGATGAGTACTCTCTTCTCTCCATTAAGTGGATAATATCCCTTGTTTGGCCCTGATGATAGGTCAATTTACTTCAATAACTAGGATCAATTACCTTTCATGAATTTAACTAAGCCTAACTGAAAAAGATAAATTAAAAAATGATGCAAAAGAATTTTACTCACTGCTTGGGAATGCATCCTTAGTTGTGGAATATTGCTTTAGATCACAATAATTAGAGCGTGCTGTCTCTGAATTGATGGAAAGTTGAGTCATAGGCATGGACCGGTTCCAGTGAACCGCCGTGGTCCCCGGCGTTCATGATACGCCGCGTTCGAGATGGCTTAAAATTTTTGAACCGGAACCCGACCCTGAACCTCCCCGGTACTCCAGTCCGTTCCGCGTCCTGCCCAACGGGTTCAGGCCAGGGATGCTCGGCGAACCGTACGGTTCAAATTACTCAGGTTCCGATTTCGGCGGTTCCCGGCATTATGCAAATTTTTAAAAAAAATAATTAAACATTTTTTGATTCAGAATTCATGAATAAATTAATAAATTCTCTTAAAATGTTTCGCAATTTTATGTAACTAATGAATTATTATAAAATTTTAAGAAAACATTCTATTCAACCTACACTCAGAACCTATTTATTATACATTTCAAACTTTCTCAATATTGCTAAATTTACTAATATAAAAAAACTATAAATGGCAAATATAATATTAATGAAATGAGTTTGAAAATTATTATTTTTCATAAATACGTAAGAATAATTATTTAAAAAATCAAATGACAGGTAAATTTCATGAATGGAAAATTTGAGATGAGAGAAATAGGAGATTCTGGAAATTGGATGTAAGAAAATAAAAAAATTAACACACATTAGATAATCATACCAAAACATTAAGGAAATAAACAGCAATAGAAAAACAATTAAATGACACTGAACTATGCGAAATTTGAAGAGAATTTCTGATTGAGAATAAATTGCAGAAGACGTTAGGACTACTAACTTGATTGTGCAAACTAAAAAAATATCAATCTCATCATATACTATTACATGTGTACTCATTCTATCTAGTTTTCCTCCCAATTGTCACTTATATTAATTTAGTAAATTACCCAGTAAATTAAATAAGATAAATGATTAAACATGTAATACAAATTTTATTTTTACCAAAAATATAAATAGAAACACTCCATTCATCATACTCAAAAATAGCTTGATTACACTCTTTTTTTGCTTACACTTGAAAGTTTTTGTTTCTTATATAAATCAACATTGATGCTACCATCTTTTTATATAAATTAAGTCGAAAATGTGTATTTTTTTCACAATTTTTTATAATCTCATATACCATCTTTACTTCTCTTCAACATATATATAACAATCAAAATCACTTTGATATAATTTTTTTATTAAAAATCTTTTTAAGCCTAACAATTTTTTGTGTATCCGCCGTTCGAACCGGAGCCGCGAACCGCCGCGTCTTGTCGACCGCGTCTTCAGAGTTCCATATCTCTTAACATCCACACTAGAACCTTAACCGACCCTTTGACACCGCCGGTTCCAGGTTCAAAGTTCATGAAAACCACTACAACACGAACAAATAAAATCAGGCGGAAATAATAGCCATCGAAACAAACGACGAAAAGAAAGGAAATAAAATAAATTAAAACGAAAACGTACTAACTACAAAAACAAGAAAACAAAAAATCAAAACAAGAGTTACACAAGCCGGTTTCGATCCTGATGGTTCCTGTTCGTCTACGGTCGTATCTGTTCGGTTATCTGCGTTAGAACGAACCGGTGGCCATGCCATAGTTGAGTTATTCTTTAAAGTTTTTTTCATCTTATGCTTTGTGTGTGGTGGTCATTTTTGGAACCTAAGCGAACAGCTCCGTAAGGTTCTTGACACATGAACCTTAACCGACCCTTGAACCGCCGGTTCCGGTTCAAAGTTATGAACCGCCGGTTTCGATCCGGTTCCGGTTCGTCTACAGTACTGTTCGGTTCTGGTTAGAACCGAACCGGTGGCCATGCCTAGTTGAGTCTATTCTTAAATTTTTTTCATTCTTATGCTTGTGGTGGTCATTTTGGACCTAAGCGAACAGCTCGTAAGGTTCTTGAATGTGGATTTTATTGGCCATCATTATTTCGTGATTCATACATTTTTTGTAAAGCTTATGCTAATTGTCAAAGAATTTGAAATTTAGGACATAGATTAAATGCCCTTTAGTCCTATTTTGATTTGTGAAATCTTTGATGTGTGAGGTATAGACTTCTTGGGTCCTTTTCTTTCTTCTTTTGGCTATACTTACATATTGCTTACTGTTGATTATGTTTCTAAGTGGGTGGAAGCTAAGGCTAGTCAAAATGATAATGCTAAAAATGTTATAGATTTTGTGAAGTCTAACATTTTTGCCAGCTTCGAAACTCCTAGAGTTATCATCAGTGATTGAGCAACACATTTTTGTAATAAGACGATGGCAGCTCTCTTTAAGAAATATGGAGTTACTCATCGAACTTCTACAGCCTACCATCCTCAGACAAGTGGGCAAGCGGAAGTGTCGAATAGGGAGATTAAGTCAATTCTGGAAAAAACAATGAGTCCTAATCAGAAGGATTAGGCTTTACATTTAGATGATGCTCGGTGGGCCTATTGCACAACCTATAAGACACCTACATGAATGTCTCCATATCGAATGGGTTTTTAGAAAACCATGTCGTTTACCTATGAAATTAGAGCATTGAGCTTATTGGGCTGTAAAGAAGTGCAATATGTGGATGGATGCTGTTCGTGAGCGTAGGAAGTTGCAATTGCAGGAGCTATAAGAGATTAGAAATGATGCTTATGAGAGTTCTCGTATTTACAAAGAGAAAACTAAGGCCTTCCATGACAATTCAATTTCAAGGAAGCAATTTTTAATTGGCCAGAAAATTTTACTTTATCATTTAAGACTGAAATTGTTTCCTGGAAAATTAAGGTTAACATAGATCGCACCTTTTGTGGTTATCAATATTTTTGCTTATGGTGCAGTAGAAATTTAGAGTTTAGAGACTAATAAAATTTTTAAGGTTAATGGGCACCGATTGAAACAGTTTTATGAGGGGGACTCGAGCTGTTAGAATCGAGGAAGTTTCATTGGAAATTCCTACAGTTCAGGTTTGAGAGTGGGAAGTCTGTAAAAAAAATTATTTTTGTTTATTTGCTTTTGTTTTTTTTATTTTTAACTCACCTTGTTACAACAACTTTACAGGGTAGGTTAAAAGGATAAAAAGAATTTTGAGATAAAAAAAAGAAGGAAAAGCGAGATTCATTTGTGTCGTTGTCGTCATTCATCTTCAAACCTCTCGTCTTCCAAACCAAGTTGTTTCAATGTGACCTCTAGATTGTTCATGAGGTTCGAAGAGAGTACCAAACGCACCTGTTTCAAGCTGTCTAGTCCTCCATGGTCAAGTAATGGTGTTCAACAAGTTCGTACCAAATAGCACCCGTAACCTGTTCTGATTCAGAACGTAAATCCAGCAGTTTAGGTAAGTTTTCTTGAACATATTTTTCAATTTCTATTTTTGTTTGCTTGGGTTTGTGTTGGGTTTACATTTAGACAATGTAAATTGAGTGTGGGGGAAGAGAATTGGTGCTGATTTTGCTGCAATTTGGGTTGGATTTCTGAATTCTTGGTTAAATTTTGTTGGGTATTTTCAGAATTAACAGCAATATGTGTTGGGTATTATTATAAACTGAGTAGTTTGTTCTAATTTTTGCTGAAATTTGATTTGATCTGATTTTGGGTGGCTGAGATTTTGATGGGTAAACTTTAGGAATTTTTGTCTTAACTAGGAACAATCCTTTGAATTAAATTGAAAAACTCTCTTAATTAGTTTAGCAAATTTAACTTGATTGTTTTTATCTCTTGTCGGTTTAGAATAAATTGTTGAATTTAGTCATTCTCTTTGACATAATGTTTGAGGCTTGAATTAATAATGGGGACAATTCTAAAATTGCTTGATTGTAACTCATAACCATTACCTTTAGAATTCTTGTATAAACTGCTTGGGCACAAAAATGAGCATTGCGTGTGTTTACTTTTGAATTTAAGATTACTAAAAATCAAAAAAAAAATAATAAAATGAGCAATTGGGCTACTCCGATGTCTGGTAATGGATAAAGAGTAGTGCTAGTAGGCACTTGAGTTTGTGACTCTAAGTAGCCGGGTACGCGAATCACCAGTATTCGTCGTCGCGTCGAAAGGATGATTACATCTCAGGCAAGACAATAATGCTCAAACGTAATTAAACAATAATAAAAATTCAGCACTCCTATTTAACATTTCAGTCATTTGCAAGATTTTCGGTGACCTCGCAGGTTATCAAATAATTCTTCAAGTAATGGTTTAATTGTATGGAACTTAAAATTGCATATTTTAAATAACAATGTTCAAGCCTATCTTTTGTGTTAGAAAGAATTTAAATTCAACTCTTTATTCTCTATGGACTTCAGATATGCTTATTCAACTTAACTTTGCTTTTATAATTAAGATTGTTTTTTCTAAAGATGTTCTTGTAAGGGTTGTGAACAGTTGGGTGAATTTTCCTTTGAGTAGGTTGAGTTTTCCTTAAGGATAAGTAAATATTAAGTGTGGGGGAATTTGATTGTTTTATTAATTTTATTAAATAACAGGTGGGAATGTTGATTATTTTATCATATGATTTGGTGTTTTTGGTGAGTTTGTTTGCTTATGTGATTAATTAGATATCAGGTATTGTTTTGACAAATTTATTGGAGTATTGGCTAAAGTTGACTAAGTCAAAGTTGAAGGGGCTGCTGTCTTCTTTTTGGAAGACATATTCAAAGGTCTTGGTTGATTTGAAGAGTAGAATATCATGAGATTTTATTTTGTTAGTTTGATTTGATTGTAAATATATTTTTTCTTGATTTGATTTGAATAATGTAAAATATATTTTTTTTCTTGATTTCCTTTTGAAATTAATCCTTCTCTTTCTTCTATTAAAAGGGGTAGGAGCGAGCATAAGCTATAGGCAAGCTAAGTTTCTACCTAACTATTACTTTTTTAGTATATAATATCGAAAAAATGGACGTACGTTAACTTAAGTTTACCATTTTTATTCCAGCTAAGGTATTAATCAAGTGCTTAGTCTGATCAAGTTTAGTGAGAATCATTGCTCTTCTTCTTCTCATATTAATACTTCAAATATTTGTTATAAAATCTCTTATTACGAGTTAGCATGATAATTGTCGATATCTATTTAACAGAGGTAATTGGCAGTATCTTCAATATTTGTTTATCTCTTGCAATTAACGGTTATGATGGATATTGTCGTTCTATTTAACGAGGTAAATTGGCCAGTTATTTAGTTAATTTAGAGTGATAGGTGCTAGTTAATAAAATCAAATCCTTAATTGTTTGATTGAATTAACAATTGTAGCAATTAATATGGCTTGAAATCCCCATTTGGAGGTAAAGTTATCAATATTAGTAAATTTACATCTTATACTTTGTCTCTTTGAAAATCTTGATTGATTCTAATTAATATGGCTTGAATTCCCCATTTGGAGCTTTGTTTATTGGGAAGACTGCATGAACTGATTTTTCATGTTTTACAGCTCATACTTCAATAGAAATTCTATTCCATCCTATTGCAAGCAAAGGGAGAAGAAGGCAGATTAATGAACCAGAACCCAGGTTCATGACTGACAAAGCGGAAGGCTTCACTAAAAGGTACAAGCTGAAATGAAATTTTAACCTCAACTTGAAGGCTATATCACTAGATCACAACTACAGGTACAAGCTGAAGGCTATGAGCTTCTACGTTTTTTATTCATACCACACTTTTCTGACATTTGTCAAATCTTGTTATTCCAAAGGCATAAAAGAATAAGAGGCAAAAAGAGAAAGGATCTAAACATAAGAAAACAAAGAAGCAAAAAACTGTAAGGGGGCAAGTACCAGTCAACCGATCTCTGATGTGCTGCCAACACAATAGTCTAAGACAAATTAGTGTGCAATTAGTGTTGGATGCTTTTGTTCTGTATATGAAACTATTATACAAATCCTTGGATTTTTAATGATTTTTGAATCATACATTATTTTGGGTGAATTGTTGCCATAATTTGAATTGTTGCCGTAATTGGCGCACTTAAGTTCCATTTACAGTTAGAAACTTAACTTGCTTCTTTAATTCAACAATTTGAGATGCAATCTATTAATTTGCACTTACCTCACATATTGATTTTGGCTTCCTTACTCCTTACACTCTTTCATTGGAGATTTGCTCTTAATATCTCAAACAAATTATTAATTGCTTGAATTTTCCCATTGCACACCTGCTGCATAATCAACAATCAATTAAGATTGTTGGATTAGTCCATTATAAAAGAATTGATTAAGCAACTCTAATGGATATCGATATGTGGATATTGGATGAGTAAAACTTAAATCTATCCTAAGCTTCATGAAAAGGTTCTTCTTCCGCCAATGAAAATATATGCAACTCGGAAGTCTTTTGGTTGAAATAAAATTTTCTCATAAAGTTATTATAAACTTCTTCCCAATTGTTTGATGAATTTGCAAGTAAACTCATTAATTAAGCCTTAGCTTTATCCTTGAGTGTGTAACAAAAGCATCTCATTTTCAATTGATCTTTCATTAAACCCTGCAAACAAAAAGTTTGAATAATAGCATAAAATTCATGAATGAAATTTAATGGATCCTTAATAGTAAGACCATAAAAAGATGGCGTTCTTCGCCTCATAATCCGGGCTGCTCATCCAAATGCATACAAGAAGTTACATTGCCAATGATTGGCCTTGCAAACTCTTTCATATGCTAGTAGTCGGCCATGTCTTCTTCTGGTTCAACTTGTACTTGCTCCAAAATTTCCTATTCAAGTACACATTCTTCTTTATTCTGAATTTCTTATTCCACAACCACTTGACGTAACAACTACTAAAATAATGAATTTTGCTGAACATACTCTAAGATTGCTGCCAATGAATAAGAAATTTCTAGTTTCAAAACTTAAGGGTCATTTTTTTATTACAACTTCTTCTTGTAAGAATAAAGGAACTAACAACATACATGTACTAGCACCGACAAAATGAAGCAATGGATAAACCTGATCCAATCCATATAAAGGCTATGGCAAGCAACGCAACATGAAACTAAAGCAAGTAGAAGAAATACAACATAGTCAATCAGAATTAGGCTGCATGAGATTGATTCTTAAATTCACCTTTGTATTTTATTTGAAAATTCTTGTAGTATCTTTAACTTTTACTTTAGCATATTGAACACTTTAATTCATAAAATTGCTCTTATTAAATGATTTCTCGCAAAATTATTATATTTACTCCAACTTATAAAATTAAATGTTACAAATACTTATTTAATTTAATAGTTAAAAATATGAAAATTATTGTCAAGTTGTACTAAGTACACATCAAATCTAGATTTTGCACATAAAAACCAAAAATCTTAAAAATTGTTATTGCTAGAGAGGATTTAGATCACAGTCTGCTTTGATGTAATAAGGTGAGGGTTATTTGGGAACTTGGAGATTATTTACCAACTAATGACAATTGCTCTTTTAAAGACTTCTTTTTTTGCAGGAACTTAATTCTAATAACTCAAATAAGGCCGAAGAAATCGTTGTAATTGCTTGGGCTCTTGTTTGGGCCGATACTAATTTTGTTTTCTCCAGATTGCTTTTGTACAGATTCTTATATTTGTTGTTCATGCTCTTAATTCAAGTTTAGTCCACAACTTTTCCGAGTTTGGTTATATTATCCAGAATTATAAAAATTATCTTTGCACGTGGGATAAATATTTCTGTTGCTTGGACAAACTAATTTAGGTGCTATCGTCTTGCTAAAATCTCTTATAGAGATGTTTGTTTTAATGTTTAAGAGGGTATCCCTTAATGCTTATATGACCTATATTCTGATGGGAAAAATGTTTTTAAATTTATACCGTTCGCTGGTAAATGCACAAGCATTTTTCCTTCCAGAAAAAAAAAAAAAAAAAAAAAAAACGTCGCTGGTAAATGAACACAAGCATTTTACCATATTCCAGAAAATAAAAAAAAAAAAAAAAAAAAGATTACTGATAAGATGTAGATGGAAAAAACTTTTCAAAAAAAAAAAAAAAAAAAAAAAAAAAGATTACTGTAGATGTAGATGGAAAAACTAAAGCCTCCATTCTAAAATTTGGAGTCATTCACATTTACAGAAATCTGAGTCTTATAGCATTCTCTAAGGTCTCTTCTGTATGTCTATTTATATGTGTCTTGAGATATTGCATTTTAAGTGTCATGTTTCTAACTGAATATTTAACCCCTAGTTAAATGATTAAATGTATTTTTAACTTTTACTTTCATGAACTTTTTAATTTATAAAATTCCCCTATTGAAATTATTGCAAAATAATTATTTTTCAAAAAAAATTATTGTAAAATCATTATTTTCAAAAAAAAAAAATTACAAAATCATTATATTTACTCCAACATGGAAAATAAAATCTATTAAATACTTATTTAATAGTTGAAAATATGAAAATTATTGTTACAAGTTGTAGTAATCACACATTAAATTAATATTTTATCACATGAAAGCCAAAGATCCTAAAAATAATTGTTATTAGAGTGAAAAATGTATAATCTTAAGTAAAATTTATAACTTTAAAAACGGTGCATTTCAAAAATTTACAACTTCACAATTTTTCACAAAAAAAAAATATAAGAGTAAATTTATGTATTTCCCATAATTAAATAGAGTTTCCTTGTTATCAACAACGAGTGTTGCGATGAGTGGTTCAATATTCTTTTCCTTTAAGTGAGGTCGAGACTTTAATCTTCATAGATGAAACAAATACTCGTTGGCAGCATTTTACTTCTTAGTAGGCTGATCCGGGTAAGCAAGATTTAGTTCTAGCCGAGTGGGTTGGAGATGGATTTAATTTAACGTATAATTTAGCTTAAAAATATTTTTAGTTAAAATGAATTGAAAGAAAAATCAGAATACAAGTTGTAATTGTTTATTTTTCAAAGATAAATCTATAATATCGTAGGAAAAATACTACATACTTAATTCTTTAAATAAAGGATTATACTTCTCAATTATTATATTTTCAATAAGGGATATTCTTTTTGCCCATACTTGAAATATTTATCTTTTTTTTCTTAATAATTCAAAAAAAAAAAAAAAGTAACATGATTTTGATGATTTTATTCTCTTAGGAAAGGGAACAATTAGAAACCGATATTATGATAATAAAACGAATTTATCTGCCGCGTGAAAGCCGTGGACACAACCGAGAGGAATATTTGCCATTGTCTCAAATTATGGAGAAACAAGATTTTTGAAGTGATACGAGGGAATCAAATCCGTCCAAACCAAAAATCGATTTTTTTTAAAGAAAGATTAGATAACGTCAAACTAAAATATTGATTAAATCAAATTAAAATCTCATTAACCATTCGAGTATCAACCCAAGAAGAATCAATTCCAGACTTATTAATAATCTATTATCAACTTTCTTTCGTTGTACCTTACTTCCAAAGAAAGTCGAATTCTCGCTGCCTCTTTGAAAGAGAGATGCTCTGAAATTAAACCGGTTTAATTTGATTTTATTTTTAATTTCAATTTATTTTTTTGAATTAAATCAGTTTGATTCTTATAATTTTTAAAAATTTGAACATAATCTAAAACAATTCCAATTGAAAATTTTCGATTCGGTTTGATTTATATTGTTTACCAATTATTGGCCATCCCTATATATATAGCTCGAATATGCCATAAACTCATAGCACGACTTGAAAAGAAAAAGAGGGAAAAGGACCATCCTCTTCAATGGCAAACACAGTAAGGGGTCAATCTCATCTTTTATAATATGTCCCTATAACACAAGATCCTAAGTTGAACTATATCTCTTCACAACCTTTACACATACTCTTTATTGCCTTTACAGGCAAAAAAGTCCCTCATGTTCAAAATTATCTGCTTTGAATCCAAAAATCACTTTCAGAATCATAATTCATGCTTCATGGCATCTCGTAAATAACTGAATATCTTTAATTAAAGTTGATCACCATATACCTAATAGAATTAACAACTTTCTTTCTTGTTAATTATTTATTATTAATAACGATTTAATAATGTTAAAAATTACTATGAAAATAAGGCATTATGAAAGATTATACCCTTAAAATCGCAAAAGGGATTTACAGATTATTTGTCTTGACTGAGTCCAGAACTAACGGCCTATTGAATTGAATGATTAAAAATTAAAAACGTTAATTTTTAAATAACGAAGAAGTGGTGTACAGTGTTATTTTATTATTGTACATGACAATTTTGCAGCTTAAAAAAAATTCATTCAGACACAACCATTAACTTATGATAATTTTGTTGATTTATTTAGTTACAAAACTCTATTATTTTTTAACTCTAACAGCCAAAAAAAAAAAAAAATCCAAACCCTTTTAGAGAATTACAACTGTTGAAGATAACCTATTTTATCTCAAATACCTGTTATTTTAGATAAATTAATGTTAGGATGTGGAATTTCAGTTATAAGGTTGTATTAACACGTCAACAAAGAAACTTTAATTGACTGCAGATTCCGATTGAAGCAATTTTCTACCACTATTAAATATTTAATTATTTTAAATCTTTCAATCATATAGATTATTATATAGCCAAATACCTTTGATAATAAAATATTATAATATGATGCCAAATAAGGGTAGAATATGTGGAATAATATGCAAATGATATCCTGGCCTAGTGGTAACTTTGAGATTTAAAAGTTCGAGATTCAATTTCTATATATATAAAACATTTAATTGTAATTTATTGGAAAAATTATACCATTAGTGTCTGAATATTCACATGTTTTTTTTATTTTAATGTCTCAACGAAAATGATAACGAGTGGCGTCAATTTTAGTTACGTGGCAGTTTAATTAGTGTTCTGAAATATCTGCTAAAAAAATCATTGCTTAGCTGGAAAAGACTGAAAATTTCTATTTTAACCTCAATTTATTGCTTCCCCAGCTAGCTCCTTCTCTTTCCTTCCAACGCCAGTGTTAAACCAGGAGAGAAAGTGTCCTTTTAACTTTTTGAAAAGGGAAAGCAAAGCCAAGCCAAGCCTAGGTGAGTAATGGGACATGAAAAGTATAGGAAGCAAAAGT